TAACCAAGCACACTGTGGCCACCACAAAGAAAAGGCCATGTCTTTCTTTAATATTTTGCAATTGCAGTTTACATTTGGTATTATTTTGTATTAGTTTCAGGTGCACAGCCTAGTGGTGAGACATTCACATAATTTGCGAGGCGATACCCCCAGTAAGTCCAGCACCCACCTGGCCCCGTACCTAGTTATGACAACATATTGACGACACCCCCTGAGCTGTGCTGTACAGCCTCACCACTGTTCGGTCGCTGCCCGTCTGCGCTTCTCAGCCCCTTCCCCTGAACACAGCTGCGTCTTTGCCCTCGTTTCCACCCACCCAAGCTGCTGTCCTGATTTGCCTCAAGTTGGTCTGACAGCACTGCATTCCTTCAGTTATAACATGCAATTGCGTATGGGAAATTCAGCATTGATTCCGTAACCACTTTGCAGGGGTGGGCAGAAGCGTGCCTTAAACAGGCTCGTGGAGTGTCAGGTTCATCCTGCTTTCAGCAGGGTCCAAACATTCTAAACAGACAAATGTGCGCACCCACGCGCGTGCTCGCAGTAGGTCTGCAGAGTGAGGCGGTAACAGAGCTGGCCGGCTTACTGACTTCTCCATGAGGTCACTTATTAACACTGCCCAGCGTGAGATCATTTTTGTTTTTGGATTTTTATAATTTGAACCTATTAGTATTTTGCTAACAAAATGCATTGGTGTGAGATGGGATTGGCGAAGAGAGAAAGAGTTTCCACAACTGGGCCTCTGTGCCTTTGGGGACCATTGCGTGCAGGCGGTGACTCTGAAATAGTGAAGACTCGTGTACCCCTGAACACTCACGCTCAGTTGACGGCAGTCTGCACAGCGAGGCCGCCCCACCTCCGCCGTCTCCCCACCAGGCGGGCGGCCCTGGACTCTGTCCCCCCTCAAGGAGTTCAGGGTGCGGTACTTCTGTTGGGACGGTTCTCCTAGGTTTGCTCTTCCAAACCATTCCGCTCCTGGGGGGTCTCAGTGAGTCCTCCGTTTAAATAAGACTTGCTCACAGAAGCCCGGGCCGAGTGCCCAGTTCCGCCGTTTCCATCAGCTGCCTGCCACGTCACCACGCTGCTACAGGTATTCGCTGAGCGCCCAGCAGAGGCCACGCCCTGTTCTAGGCGCCGGTGGAAAAGCTGCTAGGAAGTCAGAGCAAAAGCTCTGTCTATAGGGTTATCTCCTCCCAGTGGGATGGTGGCAGTGCACGTTGGGTGAAGATTTGCTGTGTGCACACTATGTGTCGTGTCTAAAACTTTCAGGAAAGCTGGGGGGACAGTGACTGTCACTTCATTTTCTTTCCAGAAGAAATGCGGGCTTAGAGAGGTTAAATAGCAGGTCACAAAGGCGGCAAGGGGCGGTCCAGCAGGGCAGTCTGGGGCCCAAGTCCCGCCTCTCGTTCCGTGTTGCTGCGATACATCTGGGCACGGATGAGTGAATTCCTCATTATTTTTGGATCCCTTGATTTTCTTCTCCACCAGTCGCACAATCCATGGTTTGGGGGGGACAGGCATACCATTCAGGCAGTCGTGATTCGGAAATTCAGGACTCTCAGTGCATTGATACGAGCACAACATTCTTTTTATCCGAATCCACCCTTCTCAGAAAGGACACAGGAGAAGGCAAACTTAAACTCACTGTTTTACCTGGTCTGGGTTTCAGTCCCTGGCCCTGGTCAAGTGAGGCCATCAGGGAAGAGTACTGGTGCCTTTGGGACCACTTTAGATGCTGGAAAAGTGTCCAAGGAAAATGTCTGGCTGCAAGGCATCCAGACCGCTGAAAATCAGAATGCGGATCTGCAGTTCTGTTGCAGGGGAACCATTAGAACCTCTTCGCCCCGCGCCGTGTCCTCCGGCGACGAGACGCAGGTGTTGCTGGACTGGGTTACGTAAGACCATGAGCCTGTGCGATGTGTTTTCTTTTCACTTCCTTTCCTCTTTTCTTTCTCTCCTACTTTCTTCTTATGAGCCTTGGGGAGTTCGCCTATTGTATTATTTTGACAAAGGCGAGCAGTAACATTTTTAATGGATTTAAAGTGGCTTATGAAACAGCACCCAGATCTATTGGGACGGAGCGGATGGAATAAAAGGACGCCTGGATTGGGGCTAGAAGAGACTTGGGGGACAGCATTTAAGGTCCGTTGTCACCTTCCTGGACCCTGCTGTCCCGCCGAGAGACACGAGCCTCTGCTCAGCATGGCCGACGGGCCTCACTGCTGTTCTGTTCAGCGCAAACCAGCGACCTTCTGGCCACTTGGGTTACCGGGGGCATTTTGGCCCCCACGGCTTAAGAAAAAATGAAGTAAGTTCCCAACATTAAGGATTCCGGTTATTTCACATAAAAATCAGGTTTTCTGAATTCTCTTAAACAATCAGAAGCTGTGGCCACATTGGGCCCGTGTGTCCCGTGTGAATGAATGAATGCCGGACTGGGGCTGACCGGCGGCTGGTCCGGTGGCCGCACCCCGTCCGCTCTGCCCTGTAGTGTGTCGGAGCCTCTGCGTCCATTCACCTGTGTCCGAGCCCTGGCTGGATTTGAGACTGTGACCCCTGGTCCTTTCTGTAAGTGGCCAGTTGTGTGTATTGTGTGTGTGTGTGTGTCTGAGTGTGAGTGTGTATATCTGCGAGTGTGCGCGTCTTCCAGATCCTCAGGTGGAGGCGGGGGTGGGGGTCTCTTGTCGGTGTACTTTAAGGAAGAGTCCTTGATGCTACAATGGTTTTGATTTCTTTTGTTTTTGATCACAGTAACAGTGTAGAGGTCCAACCGTCTTTAAAGGAAGCGTGTAGATTCATTATGTTTATCAAAAGCAGACACTGGAACAAAGAGTGATCATCAAAGAAGAGGTCTTGCCAGCTAGCGGGTCATCATACAGATGGAGAATTTCTCTACCAGTGTTGAAAATAAAACAGAGTAGAAAACACCAGCATGGTGCTGATAACAGATAAATAGCCAGATAGGTATACTGGCTCATAATCTAAACTATATTTATTACTGTGGATTGTAGTTGCAAACACGTCAGGAGCCACTGGATTGTCAAGGTTGAGAAGCACTGTGGCAGGGTGTGGTACTGAGCGATCATCGACCGCAGTTTCTGGGGAACAGGTATCTCCATCCTTGGTGTGAGTGTGCGGAACCAAGAGTGGCGGACAAGTCAGGAAGCAAATGATCACCTCGGTCGTAGGGAAAACAGAAGGCCACTTCTTCCTCCTAAAGAATCGATCGAGGTCACTCCCTCCTCTTTGCCAATTGCATTTCCATATTTGATGGGGAAAGGAGGTAGAAAAAACATCAGACCTTGCAGAACGAGGTGTCCAGTTGGTGTGGTGGCGTCCGTGAGGCGGGGACAGCAGTGGGTGTCGAAGCACCGGAGGAAGCCCTCGGGAGAGAAAGAGGACTTGACTATAAGGCATTGGTTCTTAGCTTTTGTTCTTCACTGGGTTAGAGTGGCCTCGTGAGGTGGTTCTTTATGTTAGCTCGCTGGAAGCGCCGTCTTTTTTTTTTCTTTTTCTTCTCCCACAGCCCATATTAGTGAAATTCAAACGAGGAAGGTTTTGACTGGTCACATACACCACGTTCTGTACGAGCTGAGAGCTGCCCTATGGCCGTGGCATTGGGCCCACTGTGGGAAACTGGATAGGGAGGAATCTTTCTATTTCTACCGCATTAGTTGCACAGACTGGGCCAGATAAAATAATTAACAGTGGTTTGGGTCAAACATGTGCTTGGTTTCCGTGTTGCGCTAAGCGGTTCTTCCGATGTGAGCAAATCCCAGGCTCTGAGGCCGGTATTCAGTTTTCCAGAGCTGCTGAGATGGTGGAGTGGCACTGCGCCTCAGAGGAATTAGGTTCCTGAAAATAAACAAGCAAAAAACCTCTTAGTGTACTGTCGATATATGTATATATCACGATTAGACCTTTAAAAACATCCTCACATATAATTTTGCCCATGTCCTTTAAAAATATTTAGAGTAATTAAATGTATTGGGTAAGTATATATCGTGTGTGTGTATACATGTAATATATCTAGCAATGAAAACACATGTGTTTGCCCCTTGCCTAATCGCGTGTGCCAGGCTCCCCTTACTCATGGAATCCAGTTCCGGTTCAGCAGCCTGAGTCGGAGGGGACCTTCCCTGTCATCCGGAGCAGTGACAATAAACCCACAGGGCTTCCCGAGGGAGACCTCCCCTATGTCCCCAACATTAATGCAGCACAGTCATGGTCATTAAAAGAATCCTTACCTGCATTTGATTCATCACACGGAGTGGGAGCTAGGGTGTCACTCAGCCCATGACTGTGGAAACGAGAGGACCCTTCGAGCTCTGTCTGCGAGGGGAGTTAGAGCAGAGTGCGAGAGTCCTCGGGCCCCCGCGCGGAGTGGCGGGGGTGCTGACGGGTCTCCGATTCCTGGACTGAGGGGTTGGGGCGGGGAAAGCAGTCACAACGGGCATCTTCTTCGAGAGTGGTAAAGCCGAGTGTGGGGATTACGCTAAAAATCAAGAAATGGCTTTTTTTTTTAAAAAAAAAGACTTTTTTACTTGGCTTGACCAAAAAAAAATCGGCATTGCGTTAGCCCTCACTTGCAGGCGTGTTCAACCCACGGCCTGTGGAATGCACGATGCTGAGAATGACTATGAATGCGGTCCAGCACAAAATCATAGTTACTTAACATCTTTTCTTTTTCTGCTCATCATTTTTAATTAGAGTGTGTGTGTGTGTGTGTGTGTGTATCTAACGTGTGGCCCAAAACAACTCTTCTTCCAGTGTGGCCCAGAGATGCCAACAGGCTGGATACCCCTTGATTCCCGGCCCATATTAATAACCATTCACAGGAAACTGGACTCCCCTAAACTTTGTTTAGCAAATGGGCATGCGTGTCCTCACCTCGTACAAGGGATCTGGGTCTCGTTTCCTGAGGGGGGCGTACTAGGCTCTGGGCCCACGGAACTTCCAGGGGGCGGACTCTCAGAAGCTCTTTGTCTTTGCTTTTGCAGGATGTGTGAGACTGGCGAAGGGCTATTTATCTTTCAGACACGAGATGGGGAGGCCATCTACCAGAAAGTCCACTCCGCTGCCCTGGCCATCGCCGAGCAGCATGAGCGCCTGCTGCAGAGCGTGAAGAATTCCATGGTACGTCCGGCATTTCCTCCTCGGGGCCCGGCGGGGACCGTGCCAGGGCAGCCTGGGGATCTGTGTGCGGCAAACCTCCGCCGGCGTTATTTGAGCAGGGCCTTCGCTCTTGTCCTCCGCCGTGGATGACTCAGATTAAATGCCATCCTGGGGCGGCCCAAAGGGGCCAATTGCTAACACAGTGACCTCCTTGTCTACTTAGTGCCTCAGTGATTGTAGGTGTGCGCCTTCATCCGTTTGGGCCCCTCTAACCAATACCCTAGACTAGATAGTTTATACGCCACAGACACTCATTCCTCATGGAGAGGCTGGGGAGTCCAAGATCAAGGTGCTCGGACAGTCTGTGCCTGGGCGGCCCACTTCCTGGTGGTCTTTTACCTCTGTCTCCCGTGCCTGAAGGGATGAGGGATTGCTTTGAGGCTCCTTTTGTAAGGGCACTGTGCCCTCAGGACCTAATCACGTCCCAAAGGCCCCACCTTCTAATACCCCTCATGTAAAGGCGGAGATTTCAGTGTATGGATTTGGGGGAGACGTCATCGCTGAGTCCCTTATAGGGAGTGTGTTACATTGATATTGATTTGGGTGTGCATGGACCTCTTTAGACACAACTACGTAGGTTATCTGCCTGGAGATACACATTTTTTTAAAAGATTTTATTTATTTATTTTTAGAGAGGGAAGGGAGGGAGAAAGAGAGAGAAAGAGAGAGAAACATCAATGTCCAGTTGCTCTGGGTCATGGCCTGCAACCCAGGCATGTGGCCTGACTGGGAATCGAACCTGCGACACTTTGGTTCGCAGCCCGCACTCAATCCACTGAGCTACGCCAGCCAGGGCTGAGATACACATGTATAGCAGTATCAGAAGTTGGGATTTCCACTGCCAGTGGGGGTCGGAGAGAACATGTGAGTGAGAGAAGGGGGGACACTGGAGTGAAATGTCAAAGGCCTAAGAGCTGACAACTGTTGACATGAGACTCTGGGCTCCATGTAGGGGATCTCTTGATTTTTTCCCCCCCCAGAGAAGCCAAGGATTTGAGTCTGCGTATAGTGTCTCCCAGCCTGTAACTCTTGGCAGTGAATTCTGGTTAAAACCAACAGCAAAACCATCACAGCTTTTGGGCCCAAGAAAACATGTCCTCAGACCCCATGTTGCCCATAGGCATGCATCTGCCTCTCTGTCTGATAAATCTTCATCACCTTCCACACATCGGGACACCACAAACACAGACACACACACGAGCAGCCACAAACGCACTCTTGGGACACCTACCCCGTCCGTTGCATGGTGCGAGGAGCTGGGACTTGCACAGAGAATGATGACTTCTGACTTTCTTCTTTAAGAAGAATAAATCCACAAAATCGTGATGGAATGCAGAACACTTAAACAATGCGAATCGTGCCTGAGGCTGCAAACGCGTGTGGAGAGCCGCCCATCTGGAAGGAGCCGTGTTGGCATGCTGGGCTTGGGGCAGGCTGAAGATCGGTGGTGTGAGCATGTGGGGTGGTTGGAGTTCAACAGGGGGAAAGCGTGCCAGTTATTAATGTGATACGCCCCAACGCAGCCCTAGATTGTTCCCCAGGGACCTGTGCGGGTCCTGCCCTGGGGTTTTAGAGCAGGAATCCGCAAAGCTTTCTGTGAAGGGCCAGCGAGTAGAAGCTGGAGGCTTTGTGGACGAAGACGGTCTCTTGCAAGGCCTCAGGTGAAGCAACCGTAGGTCACACGGCACCAAATGAGCGTGGCCGTGTCCCCAAAGAAACCTTTTATTCAAATTTCATGCAATGTTCACAATTAGTGAAATATTTTTTTATTTCCCTTCCCAATTATTTAGAAATGTCCTTTTTGAACTAATGTAAACTTGGTATTCATTTCCCCATATGCTTACCAATTCTGGATATTGCAATAGAGATAGATAAATGGGTGGATGGAGAGATAGCTGGCAGACTGGCTGACTGGGTGGATGGGTGGACGGATGGATGGATGGATGGATGGATATTAGCTTGCTAGCTGTGAAGTTGACTTCAAGTCACTTTGAATTTATGGGGCAACATGTAATTGCATTAAGGTTGTGTAGCTATCTATTAGATGCCTTCAAACATCTGAGATTTTTCGAAGGTTCCTTATTTATCAAGCCATCAATTAGCATACATTGTTGTGTGCTTAAAAGGCAGGTTCTGCGCGAACATGTTTTCCATTTACAACCTTCTCATTACTTCTACTAAAAATTAATCAGAATTATGAGTAATTTGTTCAGATCATCCCCTTGCAAATTTAACTGGAAAATAACGTTGTTTGCTCTTCATTTGCTGTATGCTAAAATGAGCTCGATAAAATAAATGCCATTTTAAAGCAACAACAGCCCATTTTAGATGGAAATGAGTTTGCTTCAAAATGGATCTGAATCTCAAGGAAGTTAACCCGGGGATTGTGAAACGCTTCAAAGGAATGTGCTTGAATCAATTTCTGAGCAGGGGAGAAAAGAGATAACGTGCTAAAACCGATCAAATGACAACAATGAAACTGGCCACCCTCCCTGGGTTTACAGTCTTGAGATTTCCGGTTACTGGAAATGGATCCACACGGACCTGGCTGTATTCTCAAGTAGGAGCTGTGCCTGGGCCACTGTTGGCCTGCCTCTCTGACAGTCAAGGTCATAAATGGAGGAAGACGGTGGAGGGTGAGCCTCTGGGCTTGGCCTCATTATTAGGAAGCCCTCACCCACTGTGAGCTGACCTCAGCTACAGACGGAACCCCTCACTGTGGGACCCATGCCAGTTGCAAGTTGCAGCCTTGAGTGAATTGGTATGGGTCAGACTTGCGACCTTGCCCCCCAGAGGTCACAAAGAGGAGGCTCGTGGGATGGATAATAATAACAACAGCAAGTATTATCATTGCGGTCAGCTGAGTACTGGCCCCCCAGTGATGTCCCCGTGGGAACCCCAGAGCCTGTGACTGGTACAGACCGGGAGGTGTTCTGCACAGACTCAGATCCCTGGCTTCTCTGGAAACCAATCAAGAGTACCCCTACCTGGAGCCCACAGCCTCAGGTCAACAACTGTGGGGGCTTAGGCTTTGGGCACGGCCCCTGTCATGGTCTGTGGATCCAAACCACAGTCAGAGGAGGGGCCGCAGAGGGTGAGGACACGGGGGCAAAAAGGTCACAGGGCCATCTTACTGTCTTCCCGCCACGTGGTCTTCTGGGATCATACTTACTTAGTGCTCTGGTACTAGCTTTTTGATACTTTCCCTACTCTATGGTGTTTTGCTAATATGACCGTGTATTTATTGAGCACCTGCTGTATGCCAGGGTGTTTGGTAATAGTAGCCTCTGGGATTTATCAAGCCTCTTACAATATGCAGGACACTGCCCTCGCCTTTTCCCTGGTCACCGCTGTATCTGTGCGAGGTGGACTCATTCGTTTATTCTCCTTCATTTGTTCGTTCAAAACCGTTCCCGGAGGATGTCAGGTGCCCTGCCGTTACGTGCTGTGGGGTAGCTTGGTGATTGACAGGTGAGGCCCATGCTCCCCTGGGGCTTGCAATTCAAGGAAATATTATTCATGACTCTTGGCCTGAGAAGAGTCCCTGTCCCTGTCGTGTAGATGAGGAAACGTGCCCAGAGTGGCCGAGTCACTTGCCTGCAGCCGTAGAGCCCCTGACTGTCGGAGGCAAGAACACAGGGTCGTTGTCTCTGGTTCCTAAGCCTCTACCTGCGGCCAGAGTGCCTCGGCCCTGGGCGAGTTGTATCCCCGCTGAGAACCGTCTCAGTGTTTCCAAATTGCCCGGAAAATCTTTCAGAAATATCAACTTAGAGTATACCTAAAAAAATCACTGCTCCGGGAAATCCCATTTCTTTGGGTAGTTTTGGCACCGCAAGCTCATGATTCTCCCCTACCTTCTTGCTTTTGAAACTCAGTGCATCACTATTATTTCCTTGGAAGGGGGTGCTAGACGAGGGTGGGGCGGGCTGCACCAGGGGAGGCCTCCCTGTGGAACCAGGTGGACCAGCTGCCAGCTGCCTTGCCGGCGGAGCTGCCCGGACACGGCAGGGACAGCTCCGGGCTCCCTGGGGCAGCCGCTATTTTTGCCACCTCGGAGATCAGTGTCTATGGTGAAGTCTAATTTTGGAACGAGGAGTGGTGGTGTGTGGGATAGTCCTCATTCCACGACCAGGCCTGTCGTTTTTAGAATTTCTGCAGGGCGGGAGCGGCATCGTGGAGAAGGATTGCAATTTAGCAGACTCTCCCTGGGGCTGTGGGGAGGTGGGGGGGTCCCCAGGGGAGGGAACAGCTCAGCCCCACGATGACATCTCCCCACCCTCTGGCTGCACACAGGCTTGGGAGTGAAATCTGAACAGCTTTTCATTGTTTTCACTGGGTCGCCTTTTTTGTTGGTTGCTTGAACGGACAGCTTTTCTTCCAAACTTGGTTTTGCAAATCAGATTTGCTAACAAATTTGTAGAGTTCAAGTGAACGCCTTCCACAGTTCTGGAAATCAAAGTAACTTATAGCCAGTTTCATTTAAAAATGCTACGCATGTTACAGCTTGCTACACAATTTTTTAAATATAGAGGGCATCCAAGAAATAAAAGCTTCAATTTTATTACTATTCAGACACTGCAATAAACCCTTGCATGCTGGATATATATATGTGTATGTGTGTGTATGTATATGTATGTGTATATATTTATACACACATATATATATTCCCTTTCCTCTTCCCACAAAAAATGTTTTTAACCTTCTGTTTATGGGCTCTGGTTAATTGGGATTTTTGCTTTCTTCTTCTTCTTTTTTATATTGCTTAAAGCAATTATCAGCTTTTTCCTTTTCCTGAATTAAGCCCTTTTTATATCCTGGTATATTAATTATCCAAAACCCTTTTGACAAACACCTGTTTACTCCTTGCAAAACAATAATGGTAGGTCTCATTGAGAATACAAAATAGAGTATAAACATCCTTTCGCATCTTTTTTTTAAAGATTTTATTTATTTATTTTTAG